CACAGCTTCCAGCCCCACCCAGAGCCCTGACCCCTCCCTGCCTGGGAGGACCCGGGGTTCCTCTTCTGTCCCACACGGAGGTGGGAACCTCCTCCCTAATGACCCTGGGTGGTCCCAGACACCTGTGGCCACTCAGCTTTGAACTCTGTTCATTGCAGGGGACGCATCTCAATGTTGGGAACTTTTCTTTCTCTTTCTGTGCCTGTGGCTGTGGTGATCTGCGTATTTCAGACGTGTCACAAGGAGCATTTCTTGGTATTTGGAGCCGATGTCGGCTCTTGAGTGGAGGCGTCAATCATCCTCCTCGACTATGGAACCGGACACCGGGATCCTCTCCCGTCCCACCCTCCGGTCTGAACTGGTCTGGACCAGGATCCTCTCCCGTCCCACCCTCCGGTCTGAACTGGTCTGAAAATTCACCACAGCTGAGCCTCCCCTGTCCTGGGCACCACTGACCCCACAGCCACTGTGATGAGTGGGGTTCATGACAACAGGCTCAGAGGTGACATTAATGTCCAAGGTCACATAAACCCTGGATGATAATCAGGAATTAAACACAAATCAGCTCCCCTCCCCCGGAAGCAGATTACAGACCTAACAAACTGTTCTGAAAATCCTGAACATGGACGGAGGCGCCGAAGGACGGCCAAGGACACAAGGGGCACTGAGGAGGCAGGACCGACTCAGAGCCTCATTCCCAGGGGGGTGGGTGATGCTGCAACAAGGGAAAAAGGGGAAGTACAAGAGAGGCACTGTTTGGTAAGAAGGAAACATACACTCCAAGGACTGTGTATATATATATAATATATATACTATATATAATTATATATGCTATATATATTGTATATATAGTATATATATGTGTATATATATATTTTGTGTATATATATATGTTTTATTCTCTATATTCCCTGCATTTCTCCTTTTCAGACAGGATCTTGCTCTGTCGCCCAGGCTGGAATGCCGAGGGGTGATCACAGCTCCCTGCAGCCTCCGCCTCCCAGGCCCAAGTGATCCTCCCACCTCAGCCTCCTGAGTAGCAGGGACCACAGGCATGAGCCTCCATGCCCAACTCACTTTTTTCTTTTCTGTAGAGACAGGATCACAGTATGTTGTCCAGGACTGTCTGAAGCTCCTGGCCTTAAGCCATCACCCGCCTCAGCCTCCTGAAGTGCTGGGATTCCAGGCGTGAGCCACCACGGTAGACCCTGCATTTCTCCTGTGTGCTCACTGCCACTCACAGCTCAGCCTGGGCTGCACAGCCCGGTGTCAGGTGCGTCTCTGCGGACCTGGGTCTGCCTGCAGCGTGGACCTGCATCTTCCCTGAAGCATCTCCAGGACTGGAGAGACGACTGCCATGGTAAGGACCCCGCGACGCTGAGCCGATGGACGGGCTGGAGGAGGGAGGGAGACCCCATGGGGAGGCTCTGAGAGGGAAGAGGAGCCCACGGTCGTCCTCGCCTGAAAGGGGCTGACTGAGGAAGGCACCGGGTCTATTTGCTGTTGTGTCCCGGCCCTCAGTGAGATAAAGATAAATCAGGCAGACAGTGACCCAGGGACAGGGAGACCCCATTTCGATATGAAATGTCTGCAGAGAGCCTGGTGCCCGCCCCCACCTCAGCCCTGGGGAAATGAGAGCCAGGCTCCGGGGGAGGGCAGTTCCCCTTCCTGTGGGCTGAGGATGAGACAACCCCATGACAAGAAGGACCCAGCCTCCGAGCGGCCACACCCTGTGTGTGTCTCTGTCCTGCCAGCACCGAGGGTTCATCCATCTGCAGAGCCCGGGGTCACTGGGAGGAGACGCCATGACCCCCGCCCTCACAGCCCTGCTCTGCCTCGGTGAGATTTCAAGACGGGGAGGGGGAGATCCGAGTCTTGGAGGGACCCCACCCCACACACAAGCCCTGGTTCATCAGGAGTCCTCAAAAACTCAGGAGGCACCAGGGTGAGGAGGGTCTGCTCAGGCTTCAGGGGCAAATCCCTCACAGGGAACTCTCTTCCAGGGCTGAGTCTGGACACCAGGACCCACGTGCAGGCAGGTGAGTGTGTCCCCAGCTGTCCCAGGTCCCTCCTCCTCACTAGGGACAGGGGCCACACATGGGCGACTGGGGGAGGAGACCGCAGTTCTGGGTGACTGATGGCGATGACAGGGGGTCCTGGGGCTGGGAGCTGGGATCTGAGTGTGGGGATGTCTTGGGATCCAGCCTCTGATTTCTTCCAGGGCCCCACCCCAAACCCGCCCTCTGGGCTGAGCCAGGCTCTGTGATCATCCGGGGGAGCCCCGTGACCATCTGGTGTCGGGGGAACCTGGAGGCCCAGGAGTACCGTCTGGATAAAGAGGGAAGCCCAGACCCATGGGACACACAGAAACCACTGGAGCCCAAGAACAAGGCCAGATTCTCGATCCCATTCACGACAGAGCACCATGCAGGGAGATTTCGCTGTTACTATCTCAGCTCTGAAGGCCGGTCAGAGCGCAGCGACCCCCTGGAGCTGGTGGTGACAGGTGAGAGGACACTCAGGGGTCCCAGCCCCAGGCTCTGTCCTCAGGAAGGGGGTCGGCTCTCAGGGGCGTCTCCCTCTCACAGCCCAGCCCTGGGGATGATGTGGGAGGTGGGAGCCCATTAAACACGGTGCCTCCTTCTCTCCTAGGAGTCTACAGCAAACCCACCCTCTCAGTCCTGCCCAGCCCTGTGGTGGCCTCAGGAGGGAACGTGACCCTCCGATGTGGCTCACAGCGGGGATATCACCATTTTGTTCTGATTGAGGAAGGAGAACACAGGGTCCCCCGGACCCTGGACTCACAGCAGCTCCACAGTGGGTGGTTCCAGGCCCTGTTCCCTGTGGGCCCAGTGACCCCCAGCCACAGGTGGACGTTCAGATGCTATGGATACTACAGCAACACCCCCCAGGTGTGGTCCCACCGCAGTGACCCCCTGGAGATTCTGGCCTCAGGTGAGGGACCACGGCCTTCTCTAATCCACTTTCGGGCGGCAGCAGAACAACACATAACCACACAAACAGAAATTGTGACGCAGCGGCGCGGCGAGAGGACACAACACAAACAAGCACACAACATAGGAAAAGAGTGCCAAATCGAAACACACACATACAATAAAAACCAGGAGGCACGGTGTTTTTGCTGTAGGTCGGCTCTCAGGGATAGAAACAACAGGGGGGGAGAAGGATCAGGCAGGGCAGGGCTAGGAGACCACCTCGGAAATGATAGCAAGAGGTGAAAGAGGGGCACGGGAGTGAAAGAGGCCGGGTGAGAAGAGCGCCCCGGGTGAGAAGGAGGGCGGCGGTAGAGACTCAGAGTGAGAGAAAGTTGGCGTGCAGGGGAGGAGGCGAAGAACAGGCGGTGGGAAACCAGCCCTCTGACGTCCGCGCTCCGTCTTTCCTCCAGGCGTGTCTAGGAAGCCCTCCCTCCTGACCCTGCAGGGCCCTGTCGTGGCCCCTGGAGAGACCCTGACCCTGCAGTGTGGCTCTAACGTCGGCTACGACAGATTTGCTCTGTACAAGGAGGGGGAACATGACTTCCTCCAGCGCCCTGGTCAGCAGCGCCAGGCTGGGCTCTCCCAGGCTAACTTCCCCCTGGGCCCTGTGAACCGCTATCACGGGGGCCAGTACAGATGCTACGGTGCATACAACCTCTCCTCCGAGTGGTCGGCCCCCAGCGATCCCCTGGACATCCTGATCTCAAGTGAGGAGCCCAGCGGGTTCAGTCAGGGACCCAGGCTCTGCACAGGCCCTGCTGGGGGAGCCCAGGTGGTGATGGCCGGGATGAGGGGTGGGGGCCCCAAGGGAGGGAGAGACAGACAGAGACAGGGGATGGGTGGGGAGGGGGAGACTCAGAGAAAACAGAGACAGACAGACGGAGGGTCCCAGAGAGAGGCCTGGGGAGGTGTCAGCTCAGATCAAGGTGGGAGCCCCTCATCCATCCTTCTTCTCTCCAGGACAGTTCAATGACACGGTCTCCCTCTCGGTGCAGCCGGGCCCCACGGTGGCCTCAGGAGAGAACGTGACCCTGCTGTGTCAGTCATGGGGACAGTTCCACACTTTCCTTCTGACCAAGGAGGGGGCAGCCCATCCCCCGCTGCGTCTGAGATCAAAGTACCGAGCTGCTAAGTACCAGGCTGAATTCCCCATGGGTCTTGTGACCTCAGCCCACGCGGGGACCTACAGGTGCTACGGCTCACTCAGCTCCAACCCCTATCTGCTGTCTGTCCCCAGTGACCCCCTGGAGCTCGTGGTCTCAGGTGAGGGCCCTGATCCTGTCCCCTCTGAGCTCAAAGGCTCAGCCCAGGCCCAGGCCCCCGGAGATCTCGGCTGGGATGGAGTGAGGGAGGCTTAGCCAGACGGGACACAGCCCTCAGAGGGGAGGAGGCCAACGGGTTCTCCTAGGCATGGCCACCCGTTCTCCTTGCCTGGCATGCAGAAGGTACCAGGTGGGCAGAGAAATGGTTCCGGGGATCCAATGGGCGGATGCAGGAGAGGGGGAGTGGAAGGCTGCACTCCATGGACGGCCCCAGTCCCTCACCCGCCTCCTGTGCTCCTTGCAGGACCCTCTGGAGACTCCAGCCCCCCACCCACAGGGCCACCGTCCACCCCTGGTGAGTCACTGAGGCCTCTTGGGGAGCGCGGCCTCCCCCAGGGCAGTCTGAGTCTCCCAAAAGATCCCATTCCCCTCCCCTCAAGGACAGGCTTGTGTCCCAGGGACTCTGAGGCTGGGCTGGTGAGGCGTGGGGGGTTCAAGGCAGAGGGAAGTGTTGGGGCCCAGCCTAGGGGAAAAGCAGCTGGGTTCATGTGGGGAGCAAGGCAGCCTCAGCCCTCACCTCCCTGTACTGACCCCAGAGGTCCTGAGGACCAGCCCCTCAACCCCTCAGGGTCAGGCGAGCGACCTCCTGGAGCTCGTGGTCTCAGGTGAGGGCCCTGACCCTGTCTTCTCTGAGCTCAAAGGCTCAGCTCAGGCTCTGCACCCAGGAGAGCTCTGGGACACTAGAAAACAGGGGAGTGAAGGGGGAGAATCCAGCCCATGGGAGGGTGGAAATAGACGGGGACCTCCCACCCCTGGCTCCCACCCCTGAAGTCCCAGTAGGGTAAAGAGCAGGGAGGGCTGGGAGGACACAGGGGTGAACCTTGGAGGAGATGAGATTAGACTGAAGGTGGAAGACGGAGGCCCCACCCGCTCCCCTCCTCATGTCTCCACCTCAGAATCAGAGCTTTGGGTCCCAACCCCCAGCAGACGCCCTCCTGGAGGGAGAAGAATTCAGGTGCCACCTGACCCTCTCCTTGTCTCCCCTGGCAGCTCCCCAGCACTCAGCGCACACCTGAGCCTCACAGGGACCCGCACCTGCTCCCGCAGCAGCTCAGGGACTGTGCACAGCTCCTCTTCTGCTCCAATGACCACATTTTTTATTTGGGTTTTTAATCTCGTACTGGCCTTTTTGTGCAAGCTGGCGAAAGAAGATATGCAGCATCACCTATTTTTTATTCTCACCCAGTTTTGTAACAGCCCTGATCTTACACACTCCCTAGGTTTGGTAAACCTCAGGTAGAAATGTGGACTTCCCTTGTTCTGGACGTTTGCTATGGAGGGGGTAGGGCTTATCTTTTAAGAAAAAGTCAAGTGACTGGCACTACTCCCTGAAACCCGACAGCACTTTCCAGCTCTCAGAGGGAGAGAGAGACAGAGACAGAGACAGGGACATGCTGGGGCCGCCCTTTCCTGGGCAGTTCATCCTGGCCTAGTCTCAATCCACCAAAGCCCCGAAGCTCAGCTCCCCTGCTGCTCTGCCTTCCCCTCCACCCCATAGACAAGCGGTCATTCCTCTCTGAAGAACAGGCTGAGACCTTTCTGGGACCTGCTCTTTCTGGAGCCTCTGATGCTCCCTGTCTGGGTCTCCACGCGCCTCCTTCCTGCCTCTTTTTCCTACTGAGGAATCAGCTTCAGTGTCACCTCCAAGTGTGACCTTCACTGATGACACAGCTCAGCCCAGACCTGCCTGCTTCTCATCTATGTCAAGTAATCAACCTACACCGTGCAGCTGAACTCCCTCTCTCTCTTTCACCATCTCTGCACATACACATATGTGTGTCACACCGACATCTTATGTGACATTAAAACCTCGTTATCTGTATATGTATACAGATAATATATACTCACACATAAATATAGATCTCTACCCGTACATCTAAAACTATCCCTGTGACTGGTAACTTTCCACTATTGTGGTTTCAGATGTTTGTTCAGATGCTTGTTCAGAAAGCAGAGAGAGCTTTTAGGGCCCACCATATATATAACATAGATTTCTATTTGTGTTTGTGTTTTTTGGTGTGTGTATCACATTCTACCTTTTGCTGCCTATATGAATAATTAGCTACCTAGAGATTAAATGGAAGGTGAAACCTCAGGGGTAGTGGCTGAGCTGGAGTGAAAAGGAGGCAGCCCCAGACTTTCACCGCTTTGTGCTCCTGACATTCAGGAGCTCCTGATGACCAACCCTTCATCCACGCAGCCTGGGTCCTCCACTGGGGGATCTGTGAAACTCTCATCTCGGGGGGAATCGGCTTACGTGCTCCTGTGTCCCAGGCTGCACAGAGAGCACACAGGGCTCAGTGACCCTATACTGGGGACCACTTTCCTTGCAGATCCTGAGCCCTCGAGGTGCAAGAAAACTCTCCCCCAGATGACTCAGGAGCAACGTTTAAATTCACAGAACACAGGAAAACTGAACTAGTTCCGTGAGGAGACTGGAGGGAACCCAGCTCCAGGAGAGGGAGGATTTATTGAGGAACTCTGTAAAAGCCACGTCATGAGGCCTGGAAAAATAAGAACGCAGAGCCCAGGGGAGAGGCTGGCTCAGGGCTCTCCCGCTCTGTTTTCATTCTCAGGAGCAGCTGAGACCCTCAGCCCATCACAAAACAAGTCAGACCCCAAGACTGGTGAGTGAGGAGATGCTCTCAGTTATGGGACTGGCACAGAGGGTCAGGGTCTGTCAACAGGAGATGGGGGGCGTGCGCTGGGTGGGCATCCAGGGGTCCTGGGTGATGTTGATCTGCCCTGACCTCTGTCGCCTCTTTGTCCACGATCCCCAGCCTCACATCCCCAGGATTACACAGTGGAGAATCTCATCCGCATGGGCATGGCTGGCTTGATCCTGGTGGTCCTCGGGATTCTGTTATTTGAGGCTCTGCGCAGCCGGAGAAGCCCCCAAGAGGCAGCCGGGAGGTGAACAGCAGAGAGGACAGTGCACCCTTCGGAGTGGTGGAACCTCAGGGACAGATGTCATGATGCCAGGAGGTTCTGCAAGAAAATCTACAGCCTGTGCTTTCTGGGACTATCTGCCAATCATTCCCGAAGAGAGGGATCAATGTTGAGGTATTCATTTCGCATGACGAAAATGACAACATCAAAGTCATAGGTAGTAGGGCTCACTTAGAAATCCAATACATCCGTGGTAGGACTGCAAATTACTTCAATCAATTTGGGGAGAATATCAGAAGTACCTAACTAAAAAGAAGAGACACATAGCTATAAACATAAAGTACAGAACCTAGAGGAAAATGTGTTCGTATGGTGAGGTTTCATTCACAACAACATGGACAGGACTGGTGCTCATATTAGACACCAGCCGTAGAGCCCAAAAATACATCTAAAACAAAAGAAACAAGTGTGGTTCAATTCCACCATGGGATACTACGAGCACATGCAAAGGCACAGACGAAATCTACAAAGAGCAACACAAACCAACCTTCGATCATGAGGTTGAGTAAAGAAATAAGAGTATAAAAAGAAGCCGTGCACGGCTATTTCAGCACATGAAGCCCAAAAGGAGGCAACATTTATTTTATAGGGAGGCAAACTCAAAATAGACCCCATAAATAAAGGAAGTAGATAACCCTATGTAATCCAAAATAGTGGTTACACATCAGGAAATACTGGAAGGTTCTGTTCAACATGGAAACCACAATGGCCGCTGGACACTGGCACTGGAACGCTGACTTTCATTTGGTGACCTACAATCCACTTCAAATTATTGGTCAATAGCACATTTTTAATTTGATAGAGAATAATCATACATATTTCTTGGGAGCATGTGGTAATCTGATTCATGCATGCAATG